AGGATGGACTACATACTGACCCATTCATGAATTTTACAAGAAATATTATACTAATCATCTCCCTACGACTAGCGAGTGTGGGTAGATTGATAAGTTTTAAACGGTTAGTTTAAGGGGGAAGATTTAAACTGGAATCCCAATGAAAATGATGTAAGGAAAAAAGAGCTCTAACTTCTCCGAATGGACTTGATAACCAGAGTTCCATATCACAGAAGCATACCACCAAAGATGAAAAACGAATTTTTGTAGTACTACTTGTATATTGTTGGGACATTTAACAAAACTAAGAGCGCATTAAAAACCATGGAGATGCAAGAAGATTCATTGAGTTTGGGGTAGTAACCAGAGCAACAAAACAGTATACTTTCTCCAAGATACAKTTTTGTATTACGTRTGAAGTAGGGTCTACAGATATAAGGGAAAAGCACTTCGTTTTACATTTTTTTTAATTTCAATGGCATATCATTTCTAACACACCAAGAAACTAAGTTGTTTAAGTCTGTTTGCAGCAGAAATACTTCCCTATTTAAAGTCATAGTTCCCTATTAAAGTCATAGGATTTAAAAAGTCGCCATATAATGAAAGTTCCGAATACTTAATAACAGATGAAATATGGGTTGAAAACAAAGAAAAAACAGTTTATTCAAAAGATTTAAATTTTGAGATCTGAGCCGTAATTAAATTATTATTTTAACATCTTTAACTGATAAAAGACGTCTATTTCGGAAATGGACATAACAGAAAACTTACATATTAGGTCTACAACTTTGCTTCCGCCGTTTTTTGTAAATTTAAGTCTTTATTGTATAAAAACCGTCCAAAAGTGTTTTCCCTTATTACCTCAAAAAGCAATGCTTAATTAACACTTGAAATGTTTTATGATCCATTTTTTTGTAAACTAACAAAAGTTGATTTACAAAAATTCTATATTTTTTTAATATCTAATAGAAATCATATACATGGATGGTAGTAGTAGAGTAATAGTATTATCTATGTATGTGTCAGATAGACTTATATTTCATGGTGGACGGAAAATAAGAAATAAGCTTGGAGTTGACGAAACCATAAGACAATATTTACTATTATTTTTTACTATGTTGATATAATTATGCATTATAAAGTTCAGAAAATTGTCGACGCAAGTTAGAATATTTTGAATAGTTAGCAACTAAACCAGTTCATTTAAAAAGTTTAGAAGCATGATATTTTCTATTTTTTAATTTACATAACTCTTTCGAAACCCATAAATTAGAACTCATTCGTTAAGTAACAACACATTTCGGAACATATTTTTCAAATCAATTTAAAATAGTTTCATGAAAATAGGAAGCACTACATATTGCCACTGTAATCTAGCCAAGTTACTTTAGAATGTTCGTAATTAATCTTCTTAAAATTAGCTTTCGCAAAGTTGAACAGAGAAGAAAGGTCTTGTGTATTATTATTAAGTAAGTTGTCGTGAGCTTGACAAGCTGGCCGACAGGCGTAATGCTMAAAAATTCTACGAAAAAATGCGGTGACTAACAGGTTTCAAGACCAGATCATAATCATGTAGAACCCAATGAGGTGATTTAGTAACCGATGTCTAGAGCGTACTAAAATTATRSAGGGAACACTTCTCAGGCCTGCTGAATGACAGTGTATGCATAACGCCAGGAGAAAGCGAACCCGAGTCCCCAATCGACGACGATGGARCAGATGTTCCATTGCCAAAGATCTTGGAAAAGACCTGTGAAAACCGGACAAAAAGATGGAACGCACCACCTTTTCGTCTCCGAGTAGGTCGATACCAAACGAGGTTTCAGACAAGGCGACTTTCTTTCACATGACTTCTTCAACCTTCTTCTGGAGAAAATAATTCGAGAAGCAGAACTAAATCGAGAAGGTACAATCTGCTGTGTACAGCTCYTGGCGTATTCTGGTGATATTGACATCATTAGTTTTAACAACCGCGTCGTTAGTTCTGCTTTCATCAGAATGGATAAGGCGGCAAAGTAAATGGGTCTGGTGGTGAACGAGGGCAAGACGAAATATMTCCTGTCATCAAACAAACAGTCGTCGCACTCGGGAATAGGCAGTCATAACTTCGAAGTTGTTGATAATCTGTCTATTTAGGAAACAGCATCAACACCAACAACAACGTCAGCCTCGAAATCCAACGTAGGATATCTTCTCCTATCTTCGGACTAAGGAGGCAATTGAGAAATAAAGTTCTCTATCGACGAACAAAAAAGTCACTCATTATYCCCGTCCTTCTATATGGCGCAAAGACGTGGACAACATCTGAYGAGTCGACCTGACGAATTTTCGAGTGAAAAGTTCTGCGAAAGATTTACGATTACGATATACGACAATATTGATATATTTAGTTCARTGAATTAAAAAACAGCGGTTACTCTGGCTAGGTCATGTCGTCCGAATGGACGAAAACACTCCAGCTCTGAAAGTATTCGACGAGGAMGACCTCCACTCCGTTGGAAGAATCGAGTGGAGAAGGACCTGGCTTCGCTTGGAATCTCCAATCAGCGCCACCCTGCGAAAAGAAGAAACGACTGTTGTTAACTCGGCTATAACCACGCCAGCAAAGAAGAAGAAGTTGGCTATGATTTGTATATTAATTTCCAAAGGAAAATGATAAAAGTATTCTGGCAGCACAACAGAGCATATTGAAGCGTTAATAATTTAAATCAAATCTARAATCTTGCCAAACTTGTTCGAATCTAAATTAATTTGTTAAGACCCAATTCCAAAATTTTAATACAAGTATAAGAACTAATTTAAACATAAGCAGGAATGATGGAACCATCAATAGATTTCCATGATACAAACGGTAAATTGAAATCTCCCAAAACAAKCATGGAATCAGGCGGAATATATGATAAAGCTAAGTAAATATGACCACCATTAACGCAAATTAGAATGCACTGAAATTCAATGAAGTCTTCTTGAGGTACATCGACTTCTTCAGTATGTCAGGAAGATACCAAATATTATTGAAATTTTTTCACGCTTTCATAGAATAATGGATAGCATTTTTTTCGCAAAATTTTTGAATGTAAAGTTTGGCCGGCATCTGAACGAATTTCCCAAGCTTTGATTCTTGCTAGTTGCAAGAGTATAAAATGTTCGATTACACCCGAACTTACAGCTGCCTTTCAACTAACTCTKTTCCCACGGGTAATGAAAGTTGATGTTGAACTCTCACTGTGGACACTATGAGATTTTCAGGTTGCTTTATAGCACAATATAGAACTATATACCTTATAGAGTGGTCTAGGCGGTTCAAGTAGTTCAGGGGGTGTCGATAAGGTCCCCCAACGAAAAGCGAGTTCAACAGAATACCGCTTCCAAGCCTCTAAATATAATGAAGCCCACGCTACATTAAATAGTGAAAATAGCACGTGTCCCATATCTTGCGCTGTTTGTCCTTTTCCCCAGAGAGCTGCATACAATATCATGCCAAAGACAGCTGGTACGCCTAAAGCGCAGGTGTAATGGCCCAGCCACGCAAAGTAAAGTGCTACTTTCACACCAAAATATTCAGCTATATCATCTGAAAATATATAAATAAGCTAGTACTTTGGAATAAGCGAATATAATATAACRAATTACCAAGTGGTTGAGGGGCGAAAATCTGTTTTACCCAACTRTTTTGTAGCAGCGCCAGAGAGCGGGTTTCATGTAACGGAAAAACCTGCACAATTAGACCAGTTTCTTGCCAGGCTGCAACAATGCTTTGCCCTTCGGCTACGGCTGCACGGCCCTGTAGGGCTTCGATATCCGCCTGGCTGGCACGGAGGCCTTGCAATACCTGCAGCACCAGCCATTGCCGTTCTTGTGAGGTGAAAAGTGCACTGCTTCCATCTTCGATCCGCAGTTGCTGAAAACAATGACTTTCCCGTGTTGTGAATTCACGTAAGGCACCACCTAGGTCAGGACGTAAGCGTTTCGGTAATCGTGCTTCTTCGGCGGCTTTAAATAATCTGAAATTAGAGAAAACAACATTTTATAGCTCCAAATATAACCAAAACTCATACAAAAATAAATTGCCACAAGACCTAAGGCTGCAAAATGGTTTAAATTCTAGCATCTAGATAAAAAGTTTAAATAGCAACTTACACATTCGTTGGTGCACTAATGTAGAAAGCATTCCGGCGTGTACTTTCGTGAGCCTTCACTTGTACAACCAATCCAAGCCCCGATGGTGGTTGAGAACGCAATCGTGAGAGAAGCCAACGAAGAGCCTCGTCAGGCGCATCTTCTGGAAACTCGATGACAACATCACATTGTGTCGGTATTTTATTCAACCAAAGGCGACGCGGCGTCATTAAGTGCCCAGCATATGGAACTTTTCGACGTAATTGACGGGACGCTAAAGGAGGGACATAGAGGGTGACAAATTATTTTCTTTCAAATATTGCAAATATGCAATAACTGATTTTTTTATGRCGTAAATGTATTTTATAAAACTCTTTTAAATTAATTGTAATTATTAGTTTTTTAATTCTAGTTTTCTGCTCGGTTTCGAACAATGATATACCAAAACTCGGCAACATTATTCTATAATGTAAAAATTAATCGCAAAATGTGTTGCTAAGCGCATAACTCAACAACGCATGGATTAATTTGGCCAGTTTTTTTTTAATGGTCGTTGAAGTTCAAAAATGGTTTTTACGGCGAGAAAAAATCGAATAATTGTCGGAAAAACTCTAAAAGCAGCCCTGTTCTTGAATGTTTGTTTGTTAGTAATGCTAAGACGGCTGCAACAATCTTGATGAAATTTGCAGAGGTTGTTCGTTGTGGATCGGGGAATGTTTAGAAATAAAAAACCTTATACTCTTCATAACGAAAAGTCGGAAAATTGGACAGTTCCAAAAAGTTGAATGGACAATTCCAAAAAAGTGAAAATTATTCAGTAAAAACTTTATGTGTGTTTCACACAAAGTTATCAATTGAAAAAAAGTTRTTGATTGAAATTTGTTACGAAGCCACRACGAGGTCGTACTAATATCGGTCGGCGTTCTTTTTCCCATCAACATACATTGGCAGCCCAAGGCACTTAACCGAGTACTCCCAGGATGCGATGACATACGTGCGCAATTATGGCAAGGTCAATCAGCAAGCGATCGTCACGATGTCACAGCACGACTTTTCAAACAATAGCTACAATGTTTGATGGCCTTTATCTTGAAGCCACGTATATGCGGTGTTGTTAGATGCTAGATGAACTCTGTTGAGTGGAAAAAGAGATGTTTGCCACACGCACACGCACACATTCTTCTTTGGACGGTGGTTACACCATATCAAAATGAAGAAATCATTTCTGCGAAAATTCCTGATCCAGAGAAAGATCCAGTGATCCAGGTAAAAACCAATATGGTTCATGGACCTTGCGGAAACTACAATCCCTTGTCGGTTTGTATGTCTGACAAAAAATTCACGAAACACTATCYAGGTGCTTTTCTTTCGAAAATGCAAACTGGAAATGATGGATATCCACTCTATCGGCGTCTCTCACCAGACAACAATAGCAGAACATTCAACATTAAATTTAGAAGAGAAAATATCGAAGTTGACAACACATTGATCCCACCATATTCACCACTATTGTCTAATTCACATTCAAAACTCAAAATTAAAATCATAAGATACATGTGTAAGTACGTCACTAAAGCAACATGCCGGTTATTGGTCTTGAACGAAACGGTAGATACGTAAACTGCAATAAAGAGCTTTGTACGATATTTACTTTTGCAATTGCAATGAACGTTTTTCGACTGTTCCGCGTTTCGCAGTTAATTTGGAGAATGGCCAAAGAGTGTTTTTCAACCTAGAGATACAGTACAGCGAGTGGAAACACCGCCAGCAATAAAATTAACATTGACGAATTTTTTCTCATCTTTCGTCAGTGACCCATTTGCGAGAACATTGCTCTATTCGGAAATACTTTGATATTATACAAGGAATGCATCGTCGAAGATATTTTACATCATATTCGCTAAGAATTGGAAATGGGTCAATTCCGTTTGATACTTCCGGTGGTTTGATATCAATTCCATCTGCCGTTTATAAATTCACGAACGATGAACTCATCAGGAATGTTCGGACACTGAAAAAATTATCGTAAGTACAATTCCTTAAAGGCACGCGCAATGTTAGCTGCCAAAAATACCGATATTATTTACTTAAACTGGAAGATTCAAAGTCAAATTCCGAGAAACTTGCTCTCATACAAATCGATCGATAGTCTTAACAATGAAGACGACGCCGTGAATTATCCAATGGAATTCTTTGGAGAGGCTTGGTATGCCACCACATCATTTGCGTCTCAAAGTTTGATCTGTCGTCATATGTTTCGCATTCTTCATGTGCCGAAACTGTGTAATGGAACCCGACTGATTGTGACGCAGCTATGGAATACAAAGGGGCAGAATGCTTAATTCTACGAATTCCTTTGAGTTCTAACGATTGACCATTTCAGTTCAAACATATTCAGTTTCCAGTGAAAATTGCATTTAAGGTGACAATCAACAGGACGTAAGGATAGTCGCATAGTGTGTGGCATAAATTTGGAAATGCTATGTTTTTTAAACGGCCAGATGTACGTGGCATGCTCACGAGTTGGAAAGCCATGTCTTCTGTGCACCGGCACAGAAACTAAGAAATGTTGTTTATCAAGCTGCGTTACATTGAAAAAAAATAATAATGTTAAATTCAACCTTCTTTTTATTTCAAAACACAATTTCATGCAGGACAAYGCCTACGGGGTCAGCTGGTACCATTTAAAATTTTAAGTCATTTAAACTTCAAAGCTAGAAATCTATAAAAAGAAAATTTCTGGCCTAATGAAAAGATCACACCAAAATCAAAAAAAAAAAAAATCTATCTTACCCAAGAGTACCAACCTAATTAGGTCTCAAGTTTGTAATCTCAAAGTTACGCTGCATCCGTTATTTGTGTTTACAATATAATTTTTTTTTTTTGATAGAACTAGCATAAATGATGCCATTGTCAGGGARGCCAAAAGAGGCCGTTCCCACGACAGTCGGGTCTACGTAAGCGGAACGGACCCGGATTTTTATCCGGCCAAGGACTGTCAACTCGGCAGAATTCTGAAGCTACAACAACAACAACAACAGTTCACAAAAGGCAATATGCCAGAAAACTCGTAAAACTGTATTCAGTGAGCGCGAGATGCGATTAAATAGTTATTTAACATCATTGGCGTCTCAAGGGAAATGATAMAAATTAGTACGCAATTACTGCGGGGTTCCTTGAATATCAATAATAAAGCAAATTATTTTTTAATTATTATTTATAACAGGGGATGTAACATAACACACAATACTCGTTGAAATAGTCATTCACAATAAATTTACCGAATCACCTGTTCTTACATCACTAGATTTTTTAATGGGTGTTCTCGTACACTTGCATATTTCGGTATATAATTTTTGCATTTTGCGTCATCTTGCAATCTTGCAAGAGCAAGAGAATCCCCCTATTTATAGTCCTAACTGCCAAGTTGCAGCTATGATAGCTTTTCAGTCATTACGGATAATTTTYAACTTTGATAAATTTGAATAATCAGCAAAGACTCGGAAGAAGGCTGAAACATTCTGTCTGAACATTTGTTTTTGCACAAAGCCTACGTGGACAAACAGATTAAGTGTATGACATCTGGCAGCACCGTTTTTCTTTTTCTATTCATTCTGGAAAATTACAGTTTGAATTCAATTCGTGGAATTTAAAGAAGCGTTACTTTTTCTGGAGACGCTTTCGAGTGTAGAAGTTGTTTGAATTCTTTAAGAAATAAATATTTAATTTGTATGGATGACACATTTTTTTCAGCTGTTATCGACGAAAACACTAAATATTATAGCAGACACTGTGAAGATATCAACTGAATGTAAACATCACATCATTCACGACCATTTGGGTATGAGAAAGCTCTGTGAAAAGTGGGTGCCGCCCGAATTCACTTTTGACCAAAAGAAACGAAAAGTTGATGATTCAGAACAGAGTTTGGAGATGTTCAAGCATATTAACCCCTGAAGAGAGTCTGTGTTGAATAAAGAAACGAATTTTGCCAAATAAATATGTTTTACTATTGTGGACTAGAGACTTTTCAATTGACATGTTATTTTACATTTTAGACAAATCTACCAAAAGCGTCCCTATTATATTTGTCAGCTTAACTCGCTGTTAATTGAAACAAAATAACATTCACGTCGCCATATCAGAAGTAGTTTAGAAAAAAAGTAATAAACACAAAATAACGCTATTAAACTCTATTGCACATTGAGTAGTGTTTCAAACCTATTTACATAAATATGTATGTTGAACTTTTTGAGCCTTGAAATGAGATAGTGGGTTCGTTTGTATGATTTCTGTCAGTAGTGTTTATTGTATTCTAAAACAAAAAATAGTGCATTTACCATAATTCTTTTATCTGAGGTACGCTTATTGAAAACTTCTAAACATTTTCATTCGATCAACTTCATCGCATATGGTAACAATGCTTACCTTAGATATCCACTTATGTCCATACATATGTCTGTATGTTACATACTTATAAAGCATTATTTTTTCTCAAGTTTATAAAAAATTTTTTTTTTTTTTGAGAAATTCATAAAAATTGTGAAAATTTATTTTGAAAATCTATAATTTTGTGAAGAAATTGTTCTTTCTTCAAACGTCCTATTTACAAGTGTCTTATAGTGATCTCTCGCTCGCAGTTATGACCGAAGGGCCGCCTCCTGGARGAGGCTATTATGGGATTCTGGATATGGATCCCACAGCCAAAAAAAAGAAAAGTTCAATGAAAAAAGACTTAAACTTAAACAACCCGAAGATTTTTCCTACTCTAACCTCAATTACGGAAAATCTTTATAATAATAAAAACATTGACTCTCAAAAATTTGTAACCATTAAAAGTACAAATATTGAAAAGCCACTAAATACATACAATATTTTTCTCTTAACAAAAACGCTAAACGGTATCGTTAGTGAGAATAATAGAAAACTTGCAAAATTTACAGGTGATGGAAATTTACTCGTTTTAGTTAACAACAAAAAACCGCTGACTTTTTAATAAAAACAAAAAATCTGTCAAATATATGCAAATTACTTGCGAACATCGTACAAAACTTAATACGGTGAAAGGTGTGATTTATTCTCCAGCATTAACAAACTTTTCAGAAAAAGAAATAACAACGGGCCTTACAGATCAAAGTGTAATCGAGGTTAATAAAATTAAAAAAATAACAAATAACGGATATGTAAATACTCCTTTGCATATTCTATCATTTGACTTATATCAGCTCCCTAAAGACCTGAAAGTTGGTTTCGAAACTATTCAAATAAAACCTT